AGAGGTGGGTCGGGGGGGTGCCCAGGCTGTGAAGGACTTTGTTCTATTGGCAAGTGGGAGCCACTGGAGATTTTACATAGAGGAATGACCTTTTAAAAGGGTGTATTTCATCTATAAATCATAACTAGTATGGGCTTTTGAAAACAGTTACATTTTTGGCAAGTGTGCATAAAATTCTATTCAATCTAATTTAGCAAATAATTACTGACTGTATTCTGCATGACAGGCAGTATCCCCAAGGCAACACAAAGGTGTATCGGCACATGGTTTACTTGGGAGAAGGAGTAAGCTGAATAGTTACAACTAAATACACAAATATCTGCATTTATCCTTTAAAATTGTGATGTGTTTGACATCTGGAACAAATTAACACCAGTATTTAATACTTAACAACACATATTTAAGCCAAGTATCCAAGCTAATGAGCTCTACTTTAGAGTAGGTTCCAGTATGGATTCCTTCTGCTGAAGGAATATAAACAGCCTAAATTTGTATGTGCCAGTGCAGAGAGAGAAATCTGTGTCTGGTCTGGCTTTGAGAGGAGAGCTTCTATTTGTGTCATTGCTTGGCGAGAGGTGCCAGGGTGTCTTCTTGGTTTTCCACTTAGGACATGACAAATGTTTGAAAAGGTCCTTTATGTTATAGGAAATAAATCTTGACAAAATTTTATTTTTGAAAATAAAAGTAAAATATGATTTTAAGAACACTTGGAAAAAAGAGAAAAGTATAAAGAAAAAAATTCAAAAGCATCCCAAATAAGACTTCTTAGAGGTGACAATGGTTAATTAACACTTTATATAATCTTCTAAATTTTTCTTTTTTAAAAAAATTTTAATCATTGTTCAAGTACAGTTTTCTTCCTTTTACTCCCAATCCAGCCCACCCACCCAACCCTCCCCACTTCCCTCCCATTACCACCCTCCCCCTAGTTTTTGTTCCAGTGTCCTTTAAATTTGTTCCAGTAAACCCTTCCCATTCTCCCCTGAAATTCCCTCTTCTGTCCCCTCTGGTCACTGTCAGCCTGTCCTCTATTTCAGTGTTTTTGATTATATTTTGCTTGTTCCTTTGTTTTGTTGTTTAGGTTCCTGTTAAAGGTGAGATCATGTGGTATTTGTCTTTCACTGCCTGGCTTATTTCGCTTAGCATAATGCTTTCCAGCTCCATCCAAGCTGTTGCAAAGGGTAGGAGCTCCTTCTTTCTTTCTGCTGCATAGAATCTTCTAAATTTTTCTATGCATTTATAAAGTATATATATTTTCAAAACTAAAGACATTCTATATATAATCTTTGCATTCTACTTAAAAAATTTAACATAATGAAGATCTCATGTCATGAAACATTTTTTAAAGACATTTTTAGGTGGATGTACAGTTTCAAGTTCTACAGTTATACTATACTTTTTTAAACCTCTAGTTTGGGATATTAGGTTGATTTCAATTTTGGGGGCATTTTTTTCTTGTAATCACAGATATATTTTTTGGCACAAATCTTTTACCATATCTCACATTATGTATTTTCTTAGGATCAATTTTTAAAAGCGATTTGAAAGATCTGAGATCTGCCAGAAGTAAACTGTTGAATATTTAGAGTGATTGAGATTGTTCTTCACTTTGGAAGGAGCATAGGGGGTCCTCTGAGTGCTGAGGAGAAACAGAACTTCATTCATTCCTTCAACAAGTATTTGTTGAATGCCTCCTCCATCCCAGGCTATGCACTAGTTGCCAAAGGTGCACCAGGAAGCAAGAGAGATGTGTTCACCCCTCGTGGTAGTGGGGATGTGGAAAGGTAGAAATCATAGACCAACTTCTGGTTTATAGACGGGAAACAGGAAGTGGCTTGCCTGAGTTTACCTAGCCAGATGTGAAAAGCCAGGAATGAAATATGGGTTTCTCTCTCTTGGAGTCCAAGCCTCTTTGCACCTCACCAGCCATCTGTTCCTTCAGAGTGATTTGGGGACATCAGTTCAGGGCAGGTTTACGGTCTCTTCTCCCCTTGTTGTATTTGGATCTAGCTCTAGGCAAGGTTGGGCAGTGAATGGGACCCAGTGTATCTGTGGGACCCTGATCTCTCCCTTCTGTCCCATTTCCCCTCCTGAAGTCTCCTAACCCCCTCTCAGGCACCCAGAGACCTCATAATCTTTTCTCATGACTTGTGGAAATGTGTTTTCTGAGAAGAAACTGGTGTCGGTCATTCATATCTCAACTTAGATGAGTTAAGACACTGTGCTCCTTCTTCCAGGGGGAGTTAACTGTGAAGGCATTGAAAGATCTCTTTCTTATTGAGGAATGCCAAACTTTGTTTCCAGTGGAGGCGTTTTGGGCATCAGGGAGCAGATAGGGCAGAGGTGCCCCTCCTCCACTGGCCTCCAGGCTCACAGCACATCTTTGTATGTCCTTTCCACCTTGGTTGGTTAGCCCAACTCCACATTCTCATATAAGAGGGAAGGCTGGTGAGAAAGTTGAGGACATTGTATTCACACCTGGAACTTACTACCAGTAGATTAAAGGGGCTGCTTTGGGGGTAGAGCTTCGTAGAACAGGGAAACTCCATTGCTAGGAAACCCCTATCCTCCTCCCCAACCCTGCCCAGTGAGGAGTGTCTCTGCTAGGAAGGAAATTCAATCAGTATTCCAGCCACCAGAATTGAATCTGGATGGACTATTTCCTCTTCGGATTCTGTTCCAAATTGCATTCCTCTTGCATGTTTGAAGTTAAGAGTCACAAATCATTTGTATTTCCCCTTTCTAAAGGAAAGCCTGCCACAATAATTACCTCACCCTGTTCGCTGACTTACGGAGGGCTCATCCCTTCCTGAAAACACTCTAAATGACTTTGATGGGTAAGTATCAGGCTCACACATATATGTAATAAAAGCTTGGAGAATTCAAATTTCTAGTTCATAGAAGTGGGGGTGTGTGATTTTTCTCTCCGAGCCTCATAGTTTCATTTTTCTTGATTAGATTGAGGCCAATGTGAGAATGGAAAAAACCTATCTTCACATAGGGGAAGAGATGCACGTGGGCCAAGGAGAGGAAGGGAGCGTGACACAGGAAGGACTCTCATTGCCAGTCAGAGAACTGCTGACAGTTGAACATCAAATGTGAAAGAGCTGTCAATTTAATGTTTGTGATGTGAAGATTCCTCACATTTCTAACGGGGTATTTAAATTTTGAAGTGGCTTTGAGTTACGGTGTAAGGAGAAGATGGTTCTAAGGCAGCTTTGATACTTGGAATAACATTTTTAATTGTTTTTCCATTTTAAAAACTGTGGTAAAATATGCAGAACATAAAACTTAGTATCTTAGCTATTTTTAAAAGTACAGTTTAGTGATAATAAGTACATTCATCTTGTTGTGCAAGGATCACCACCATCCTCTTCCAAAATCTTTTCGTCTTGCAAATATGAACCTCTCTACTCAACAAACAGTAACTCCCCACCCTCCCCTTCCCCAGCCCCAGGAAGCCACCCTTCTTCTGTCTCTATGATTTTGACTACTCTAAATACCTCGTGATTGGAGTCATGTAGTACTTGTTTTTCTGTGACTGGTTTATTTCACTTAGCATAGTGCCCTCAGAATTCATCCATGATGTAACAGGTGTTACAATTTCCATTCTTTTTAAGACTGAATAATATTCCATTCGAGGTCTGTTGGGAAAAGTCCACCCATTGTTAATACAATGGGAATGGTTTACACTACATCAGTGTAACCTGGCAACCAAGGAGAGTGGACTGGAATGAGCATGCGTGAACAAGACTTCACTATACTAGTCAGAGGGAGTGGTAGATGCCATTGAGTGAGCATGTGTACATTGCATTCAAAATGACTGCGTGAGTACAGCAACGAATCTGTGTCAGATTTTAAGCTTGAACATTCCTCCGTGTAAACTATTCGGATGATTCAGAAGGCCACAGCTGGGCAACTGGTGATTGACAGCTTCACCAGGATAATGCATCCACTCATGCATCATGTCTCATGCAGAGTTTTTTGGTGAAACACCAGTCCTAGTGACTCAGCCCCTCTATGGCCCAGATTTGGCATCCTGCAACTTCTGGCTTTTCCCAAAACTAAAATGACCTTTGAAAGGGAAGAGATTTCAGGCCATTGGTGAGATTCGGGAAAATACAATGGGGACAGCTGATAGCAATTGGGAGAACTGCGTGAGGTCCCAAGGTGCCTACTTGTCCTGTGTACCATGTGGAGAGAAGCAGGGGGAGGGGAGGAAGTCCAAAGACAGAGCCTTTACCTCAGAAACTCAGTCATCTGAAGAGACTAGATAGGAAGAAAACTGAGGTTCTATAAATTAATACATTTAAAGTTTGTTTTTCTCCAGTGCTATCCTGCAAGGGAGATCATGAGGGGTAGGAAAGAAAGACACGGCAGTTCTTCCCATCTCCAGTAGTGTAGAAAACATGTGACCCCGCTGCACCTCTCTCCATTACTCCAGGTATCTCCATTACCTGCACTACCAAAAAGTGCAATCAATTAAACCACCACTGATGCTATTTCAATGGGTTTGGGATTGTAGGTGGGTAATATTCCTCCAACTTGTCCTTAAAATGAATGGGGGCCATGGAAGTGAATGCTACGTGGTGCCAAGGCTGGAGGGGGCGTGTGGTTCTCACTGGGAGCTGGTCCCGGGAGTCGGGTAACTCAGGAGGCAGCAGAGTGGGCTGAGTTCTGGGTAGAGCCCTGCACCTTTTTGGAAGGAACCAGTTCTCGTTTTCCCGGGTGCACTAAAGTAAAGTGAATTTTAAAATGCAGGATGGGTGGGTGGGCTGGAATGGGAGTAAAAGGGAGAAAACTGTACTTGAACAATGATTAAAATAAAAAAAATGCAGGATGGCACTGGCTTTCCTCAAATTTAAATTTTGATAGTCAGTTAGCTGTACTTTTTGAAGTATTTTTATTCTGAAAACAAATTTTCCACAATAATGCAATTTGTTTCAAACCAAAAAAAAATGTGCTCATTTATCTGGCTTTTCTAGAATGGACAACTGAAACATTTAAGGCAAGATTCATTTATTCACCTCCATTTGAGAGTGGAGAGAATGTATCAGACATCAGGTACTGGTTAAGGTTAACAAAATATGGGGGAGCTTCTTCCTCTTTTCTGTTGTCCTTCGATAGTCTCCTGTGTAAAAGCTTTACAATACTATGAATATTTTATAGTAAGACACTTTTGTTTCTGACTTTTTAAATAAACCTCTTTTAAACTTAAAGGCACACAATAAAGCTTTATGCATTTATTAAAATATACACATTTTGGTAAATTTAGAATTTTCCCTTAGTATCTTGATAAATCAATATATTATCAATACCACAATCAATTTCAAAATAAAACATACTCCATAACACATCTGCATATTATTTCTTTCTTCATGATAAACTACAACACCCCATTGTACAGTGCACCAATGGGAATTAAAAACCACAAAACGAACAAACTTTAACGAATACAGCAATTTCATACCAATATATATATATACATATATGTATCAGAGAATGACACCAGAAATTACCAGCTGCAAAAAGCAAGTTGTACTTCTCAAGGACCAAACAAAAATGAAACAAGTTAGTAAAATTTACAAGCTGTACTTATAACTTTGGATACGAATTAAACAGTAACCTTTCTTTTCCACAGTGAGAAAAAGCTAGAATGTCGAGTCCTGCCGTTGGGTGGTGTGACTACATGGGCTGAGAACAACACCTGCTCTCTCAAAACCTGCAGCCCCGTCGGTTCGCTCAGACAGTTGAGGTATTTATGTGCCATCGTAGCATCAATAGTGTCTTTGCTTTGGAAAGGGGGGGATTATGATTCTCGCCTTCGGGAGTGTGAGACAAATGTATCACAACTGCCAAGACCAGTCAGGAGAAGGGGGGCAAGGAACAGTTTCTGCATCCCAATATTCAAACCAACACAATCCTTCATAGTCTGCACTTCCTGAGAAATTTACACAACCCACAGTTCCCTTTGGCCAATGCCACTGATTCAATATCAGGAAGATGTAATAGCAAAGGAAATATAAAAAGCATAGAGGGAGTCCCAGATGAAAAATCCATGCTGCCCCCAACTCTTAGTTCAAATATAGAGCCATTTTCTTTTCTTTTTGTACCAAAATGCACTGAATGTTTTTAAAGAGTAAGAAATTAGAGCTACCTACTTTCAGAAGACTTCAAGTCCGCAGCTGTGTTTGTGGAAGCCTTATGTGAATTTGTAATTCCATGCATGCAGAAGACTGTTGAATGATTTCTAACACTATTTTAGTTGATACTGCAGAATATAGGTTCATTTTTGATAGGCTTCAAAACTTCCACTAATCCCTTTTGAGCTTTAAGTCCTAAAAAAAGTTTTTTTTTCTTGGAGAATTAATTTTGGCTAAAGGCTACAGCTTAGGTATTTCAGAATGATGCAAGCTGAACAAGAAGAGGAAAGCATTTTAGACAGGAAGTCGCTCCCGAGGAGGAGAAACAATCACAACAGCCTCTTCTGCAAAGTCTTAGAGAAAATACAAGTAGACACAGGCTTAAGAATTATGTACATGTAGGGGTTTTTTTGTTACCCATCACCATTCCAACTGAAAAACATGAAGCACACTCACTCCGTGGTGAAACAGCATCCTGGTTCCTGCCTGTGGCGGCGCCTGCCGTTTGAGATGCTGCTTCTGCACTTGTGCATTTGTTTAACTACAAGTGTTGGCTGTCTCACAGGGGGCCATCATGCTTACCAGTTGGCACCTTTCTTGAGGACTTCAAAGGGCCCCGGAAGACAAACAGGTCCTCAGCATCAGGGAGGTGCTTGCATACCAGAGAAACCTAGGTTTAGCAACAATTTTTGATAGAAACATTCTCTTTGATTAGTCTTGTTCCAAATGGCATGAAGATAAAGGGCTACCATGCAGCCCTAGGGACCAACTTTGGGGTATGAGTTTCCTTGCACCTCCTTCCCTGCATGAGTAAGACATTAAGGCCACCTGTGGATTGCTCACTAACCTGAAGGCTTAAGTCCAAGAGTGGACCATTGTCTGCTGCCTAGACTCAGTGAGCTGACCTCAGCTCTGGCTTCAAACTCATTTCCTGATATCTGACTTCTCCACCCAACAGGACATTCCAGTCTGAGATACAAGACAGGTAAACCTGTGGCTGACCCTCCATGGGCTTCCACTGACCTCTCTGGGCCCTGGTAAAACCTGGTGGGAAAGGGGAGGGCAGTACACTTTAGTTTTTTAGGCCAGTTCTCAAACTCCTTGAGCTCAAGCTGAGTATATCTTGAGCTGAGGTTTTACTGTGTAGATAAGATAGAAATAAAAACTTGTTAGGTTTAGTTGTTTAAATTTATTGTTGAAAATTTTAAAGTAGCTGCAAATAACTTTGTGTTATCTGTGCACATGTTAGATGCCCACACTTCTCCTAGGTTAATGCTTTAGGTGTGGATGTTTTCTCCCTTTAATGTGTTAGATCAGCTTGGAGTGTGTATGTGATTTGTTAGCTCCTTGCATAGGCAGAGGGAGTCACTGCCCCAGCTTCTAAAAGTTCAAATCTCCCTGATTCATACTTTCATCATTTCCCCAATGCCTCCCCACCCAAGCAGAGTCAGCCAGCTCAGCTCTACTTTCACGTCTGTCTGTGGGTGAGCCCTAACCTGCCTTCTCAGCATGTTTTCTTATGTTTCATACACAAATCATGCATAAATCATGAGCTCTTGCCAAACTAGCTTTTTCCTTTCCTTTGAAGGAGACACAGTACAACTTACTAGTTAGGAGACAGCCGTCAGCCAGAGTCTATACCCTACTCATACCAGTCTTCCACTCTGCAAGCCTTTCTTCCACTTCTACCCGGCAAAATTCTGCCCACTCCACAAGCCCCAACACAAGGGCCGCATTCTCTATGGTCTTTCCAATGGAAGGAGGTCTTTTTCATATGCGAACCCCCATTGCACATTATAACGCCTTCATCTCACCTGTCATCTTCACTATTGTTCTTTATTTGTATATTCTGTTTTCCCTATTTCTTATGCCATAGCACATAATAAGCAGTCCATAAAAATGTGTTAAATAAATGTATTTCATTTTCCTTTCATTCATCCACGTGTCCATTTATCCATCTAGCCATTTGCTCAGTCATCAGATATTTAGGGGACATCCAAATATGCCAGGCACACGTACCTGGTAAAATCCAGGTCTGACGCTTATGTGTGGGTTTCAACGATCTATGCTATTGCAGTTCTCTGCCCTTATGAGGGGAGATTTATTCATATCATACAGGAGTACTTCTTCCTGTCACTATCAATAATTTTATTGTTTTTCAAGTTGCCCCTCATTGGAAATTAGCATTGCATATCAAGGTTCTGCCCTGGCTGGTGTGGCTCAGTGGATTGAGTGCTGGCCTGTGAACTGAAAGGTCACCAGTTCAATTCCCAATCAGGGCACATGCCTGGGTTTAGGGACAGTTGTGAGGCATGAGGCAATCAATCAATGTTTCTTTCCCTCTCTTTCTCCCTCCCTTCCTCTCTCTCTAAAAATAAATAAATCTTTAAAAGGTTCTGCATTCTATTACTTAGCACAGTTCTAGCTTTGTCTTATCCTTTTTATTTGCCTCCAGCTCCTCTCTTAATTATTTTGGGTATTACATGTATTGTAGTAACTACCTCAGATCCTTTTGAAATGAAACAGAGTACCAATACATGACAAAAATGAAAAAAAAACCCAAATAATTGGTTCTAAACTACAAATTTGCATGATGTAAACTCAGTGGAAGAGCTCTTGCTTCAGATGAGAATGTAAGAAAATACAGGTCTTCCTTGGACTCCTTTCAAGGGGTCTAAGTTTCTGTGGGAATCATTTACAAGGGGATCTTTTCATATGGGTTCACAAATGCGGTTTTAGAAAAATTGTTGGGAAACACAAATAAAGTCATTCTAAGTGATTGTCGGAATTTGAAACCTGCATTGTGGAATCTGGGACTCTTTCACAAAGGCTGGGAAACATGAGGAAACATGTGTCTATTTACCTTAAAAAACTTTTTCTATTAGATTGACAAATGTTTAATAAAGAAAAACAAGTTTACTAGAACGATAACAAATCAATTTGAGAGAAATAAAGAGATCAAAGCTTAAAAAGTTATAGAGCTCCTGAATGGGAGAAGTGACCCCTGAACTGAGAGGGGTTCGTGGCATCCTCAGGGAATCAACAGCAGTGGTGTGTACCAACGCTGTGCTCTCTCTTCTCGTGCTCAGAAATCGCATACAGCGGCGGCCAGACTGTAATACCTAAACCTTTCTAGTGAAAAGGAAGTTCTTTCACCCACAGTACGATTTTGTTATTTTGCATTAATATCTTCCTTTGAACATTTTTAACAGATACAGTCCCACCCTATCTATCTGGATATATTTCAAGCTTAAGAGATTATATTTAAACTAGGAAGATTTGTTGAGTTCTAAAACCAGTTCAACACTTCATTCTTGCAAAAAATGCTGATAACTCATTTACAATTAATCCCTAAGGATATATTTCACAGGCCAGGTGCTGTATCTTTATGGTTAAGTTTAGGAGAGAGAAAAATACAGCATTGCCAAGCATTACATTAAAATGACAAATATCTCAGAAACCAGAGTTGTATACAATTAATATAGAAGCATGAAAAAGATTTAGAAAATAGTAGTAATTTGAATTTAAATGACATAACGTTGGCTATGGGTATGATATGCAATTTATTTAAAAGCCTATTAAAATGTAGTTTCAATTGACCTTTTAAAAACTACTATGTTGAAGCCCAGTGCATCAGCCATGGGGACCTGCCATGTTCGGCTGTTGTATCTACAGTTATCGGACTCCGGTGCTGCTCGTATTCCCTGGACCGTGAGCCTCCAAGGGCAGATGTCATTCTTTTTGCATTCCCATCACTTAGCACTTGGTATGTTCTCAATCAGGGTGAGCTGAGGGGAAGAAGTGGACTTCTGCTCCCTGTTCATAATCTTACAGCCTGACAAGATGGCTCTAGCCTCACCCTCTAAAAAAGAATCGACTGAAACATTTGTTGATGTATTCTGGGAAATTTTTGGCATAGTGCTAGATCCAGGAGAGGGAGAATAAGGAATTTGGTATTTCCCCCCTTTCAGGAAATTCTCCCAGAGACTTTAGCTTGGCCCAACTTGTGCTTCATGTGCGTGTGCACCTTCCTCAGTACGGCGCTGAAATCCCTGTCACACAAGAGGAGAATTTACAGATCGTGAGTTTTTTCCTGCGCCAGATTGTCTCACCTAGCTCGTTTCAGAGAAATTCCTTTAAGAGCCTCTCTGACGGACCAGATTTAGAGCCTACCGGGTAGACATTTCTCTGGGCTTCAGTGAAACTGCTCTGGGAAATTGCAGGAAAAATACATGTCCGGAGGTGAGCTACCCCAGAAAAATAAGGTTCGGGAGGGAAATATGATCTCATGGAATGCAATTACCTAAGAAGCTGCGCTTCAACATTTTTGTTTTAGGAGTAGCGCCCACCAATCAACTGGGGGCATATCTCAAAAAAAAAAACCAACTACAGAATTTATAATTTTAGAAATCTGAAATAGAATTTGCAATGTGATCTCAGTGGCTGGGTCACTTTTCCTTGTAAAGATTTTATCTGATTATAAAACAAACAGCCTCCTTCTTCAAGGCATATTAGCGCCATGAAATCATGCTCCAACTTTGCCCCCTTCCATTATATCAGCAGGAGCTTAGAGCTTGGTGTAAGAGAAGGCTTGACAGAGAGTTCATTTCTGCCAGTGCCCTTCTGGCCTTCACTACAAGACATGGTTATTTTATTTTTTCCTGGGCATTTAGTAGAATTTTGATGGTGCTTCTCACCACATGAGTGGGTCTGCATGACTGCTTTCTGGTGAATCTGAAACCTTAGGGAGAATGGTCTCCAAGTCCCTGAACTTTGCTGGATCCTCAAGTTACAGTTTGCAGACTATGAGAATGTTGGTGAATACAGAGAAGCATGCCTCTTTTCCATGGATCTGTTTTTGTGAGATTTCAGGACAGAACGTTGTTTGCTGAGGAAGTGCCAAGGCCACCTGCCCACCCTGGCCTGGGGAGCAGCTGTCAGCCTGCGTGCTGAGCACAGAGCTTTGCCCTGTGGTCTCAGGGGCGGGAATGCTGTCTGTGCCCACACCCACCTGATTTGGCACATCTCCACCAGGGGCTGCAGCCTCAGTGTGGTCCGAGAAGTTTTCTTCTTGCTTCTTGGAGTATCAGTAAGAAGCAAAAAGATTCAACCAGCAAAGCAAAGGCCTAAGAAACATTTGCTGCCATCTGCTCTGATGGTTACACCTAAGATAGAATTTCTTTTACCTTCTTGTTTAGGTTGTCTTTGTTTTCCCACAAGGGGATCAGTAAGGAGACCCAGATTAAACCCTTTGACAGAACTATCCTGAAGAGCAGAAGTAGCAAATGACAGGTTATGATTGGGGACTGACTTTGGGGAAGGCTGGACTTTTGAAGTGAGAGGCAAAACACGTTTTCACCTTCTAGCCCACAGGTAAAGTTACTGAAAATAAATCACCACCATTTCTACATATTTCTTGTGTGTTTACTCCTACTCTGGAGAGTAATCTAACTCATCGTTTGCAATCAGGGCCTCCGAGTTCTGTTTGTGTTTACTTTTGCTCTTCGCTTTGCTACTTGTCCGGGTGTTTTCCTTCACATCTGACATCTGTTGGTAATAGAAGCCTTTGTCTTCGGCCGGCCCGCCCCAGTTCTCCTGGCTCTCACCCTCTGTGGCGTAGGAGAAACCCTCCTCCACGGAGAAGGGGTCGTCCACGTCGTAGCGCTGGTACGTGCTTTGGTGCAGGGCCTCTTCCCGGGCGCTGATCTCCAAGGTGCTGTTCCAGATGCCATACCCAAAATAAATGAGCATACCTGCAGGAGGGGAAAGGCACAGGTGAATAAGCAGCTGCTTGGAGATTCATGGGACGAGTAGGGAGATCCCTCTGAGTGGGGCAAGCAGAGCTGGTGGTATATGTGTTTTCTTTGGTCTACGCCATGTTTAGAAGAGACAAAATTAGAGGCCGTTTAAAAATTGGGCCATCTTGCATTCACCAACCCACATGTATAGCTTCCCCTAAAAACGTCAGAAAGTCTGACAACACTGCATCCACATTCCTATCTGATAACTTAAGCCTGGGGGTGAGAACTAGCTGGCAGGTTAGACAAGATATGGGTTCTCTAGGTCACCCCAGTCCTCACCTCCCCTGTCGACATCCAGCTCACTACATTCTGAGGTGTAGGTGCCAGCCAGGAATCTGCATTTTCTTTTACCTTGGGTTAAACATTTACGGATCAGTAACAGTGTATTCCCAGCATTCTCACTGTGTGTTATCCTATGCCTTCACTGTTTACTTTGCCACTTAGCAACATGCACATATTATCCTGCGATTTCCCTTGCCATGTCTCACTCACCAAACACATAATGTGTCACTGCCACACAGGGCCGTCCACTCTCTTCTGCGGCCTCTCAAAGTGTCTAGTCCATGCCACTGTTAGGGCCCTTAGCTGTTCTGTGATTGATTATTTGCATAGTGAGGTTCTATTTTATAGACTCTGCAGAAAAGCGGCACTTAATACTTCTTGAATGAATGAATGAATGAATGAGAATTCCTAATAAGCATGAAATATCCAGTGCAACTCTGTTTTGATGTCACTCCAAGCAAAGGAAAGAACTTGTCTCCATAGTTAATATGTAGCATTAACATTTCACTGCCATCAGAGTTTTTTTGAAATAATACGTAAAATACTTTGAAAGCCCCCATTTTGTATCTGGAAAACTGAGAACCATAGCCTTGGGAGGCCATAACGGCATGATGATGAAGAGCGAGAGCTGTGGATTCAAATCCTGCCTCCACCACTATTAACTGTATAGTGTACTTAGCCTGTTTGTGCCTTAGTTTTCTCTTCTGTAAAAGCACAAGAGTTATTGTGCCTATCACATGGGGTTGATGTGAGAATGATACCAGTTAGGCAGTAATTTTCAACCATGGCTGCACCTGAGGGTAACCTGGGGAGTTTCTGAACCACCCTGCTATCTAAGCACCACCCCAATATCTAAGCACCACCTAGAGAGTCTGGTTTAATTGGTCTTCAGTGTGACCCAAGCCTAGGTATGGGTTTTAAAGCTCCACAGGTGATTCCATTGATCAGCCAAGTCTGAGAACCTCTGAGATCAGGAGCATAGAGCTCCTGATGCATGTGTTTTACCGCCAACTCTGGCCATATTATGGTCTGGCTGTTGGGGACCCCTTGGTTACGCAACCTTCCAGGCCTTGACACCCTCTTCTGAGTGGCACTAGTCTCTTTGACTTTGCTAAGCCTGCAGGTGTCTGCTGGGCTCTTTGCTTAGAACAGCAAGGTCAAGCCTGCTTTCTGCTCTGGTGCTTGAGAAATCCAGCTCCCTTTTGCATTTGAAGTGTGTCTATTTAAGCTTGGATTTCTTCTTGCTTGTCTCAAATCACCCCCAAGCCCCGTGAAATCAACTTTTCAGCAGCCAAAGTAAGCAGAGATTTATAGTCCTAATTGGTAATAAATCCTCTAGTTAATCATTTGCAGATGTAGCTATTATTCTCAAATCCTGACTTTATTTTTCTGAGCAGGGATTTTTACTTTTTTCTTGCTTGGGGGTGCGGGTGGCCATGGGGGATAGTTACTATCCTTGGGTAGCACGAAGCATCAAATCTCTTAATAAAGGAGAACGCCTCTGAGACCTGAGAATACATTTCAGGAGACGAAGTAGAAATATCAGGCACACTCCTCCTTTGCTCAAGTTTGCTTTTTTATTTTATTTATTTATTTATTTATTTTTTTGCTATTTCCCTGCCAGACATCCAAGCAGGTGCCAAATCTTGCCTCCTGCTTCTGCTTGCTATCTATTATATCAGTTCTTTCCTCTCTGATCCCCATCTCCAACCTTATTTATTTCCCTACCGAACTGAATGCCATTTTGTTTCTCTTCACACGCTCTCTAACTCCTCGCCTCATTCAAGCACTGGTTTGACGTCTATTCCGACAGACCATCCCCTACCTTCCACAGGTATTGGGTGCAGGTAGATTGATATTTATGGGAATTCTCTAAAAGTGTTGGTGTGATTGCTCATAAAATCATAGACATTCAGAGTCTATAGACCATCCATTTATTTGAATACCTTCATTTAACAGAAGGAGACACAGAGGCTGGGAAAGACTAAATCACGTCCCTGGGTCTGAGAGGGGCAGAACCAGCACTCCGCATGGACCTAGAAAAGGCTCTCGCATGTCCAGTCCTTCATGCCTCCCCTCCCATGGCTGGTTGATAGACTATACTTGTTGCAGTAAACAGTAAGAGGTTTGGTTTACATTTGTTTTTTGGGAGTGGCTGAACCCAGAACGAATGTGTGTGAGAGAGAATGAGTTGACTGTGGTTACTTTGGGAAAGCAACCCATGGAAACCTGCCACATAAATATTTATGGGCCTTTTCATGTTTTCTCTGAGCTCCCGGCAGTTTCAAAGGTATGTCACTCTGTCTTCAAAAACACATTTCAAATATGAGTGCTGTGAACCAAGAAGTGACTGTGTGTGTGTGCAGCCTGCTGGAATAGTCAGCATTCTTCTAGGTCTTGGCTTTCTATCTGCCTTTACTCCTCTTGCAACCCTGGAGTCAGTTCAGGAAAAGTGGTGGGAAGCAGAGAAGGTTCAGAGGAAAGAAAAGTGGAGGGGGGCAAAGAAACAGAAGGGAGCAAATGAAGTGAGGGAGGGGAGAGAGAGGGAGAGGGGGAGAGGGAAGACAGAAACATGTACTACCATCTGTCACACATAAACAAGGGCTTTGTGTCGGAGGAGTAAACAGAGCTGCTAACAGCCTCCAGTGTAGGAGCAGGGTGCTTTATTTCTGCTGCTTCTTTCGTTCGGCTGAGAGAACTGAGCATGAGGTAGTTTCTGAAAAATCTGTGGTGATTCTGGGAATCCTGAATCATCTAAACTGAACTTCACACAACACCTCTGGGTGCTGAGTTTCTATAATGATGGATTTATGTTGCTCCTTTATCTCAAGGAGCTCAAACTGTTAGATAAATGTTAGCTTGTTTAGACCCCTCCTGGCCCATTTGGGAGTGTGTCTAAGGCTAGGATCGTGTGCCTTTCACAGACAGGAGACTGGGCACAAGGCAAAACAAAGCATTGTCCCCAGCAACGTGGTTAGTGGTCGGACTGTGACTCCTGGGTCTCCGCATCTAATCAGGGTGCTTCTATCTGTTATTTCTCCTGTCTACCAGGGATGGCTATTAGGTATAGACTGGTTGAAGAAAATTTTGCTTAACTTTTTATTTTGGAGAATTTCAAATATATGTGTGTGTATACACACACACACACACACACACACACACAAGTGGAGGGAATAGTGTAAAGAACGCCAGGTTCATATGGTAACCTCCCCTGGCATCCACTCCCCTGCCTTCTTCTCTTTAAGTCATTTTGAAATAAACCCCTTTCACTCTATGTACACATTTCTAAAAGAGATTCCTTTTTAAAAACTCAGTATCATTATACATCTAAAAACTAGTAATTCCTTAACATCATCTGATATCTGCTAGTATTAAAATTTCCCTGAATGGTTATGCACAGGGGGAAAACCCTTCGCCTTGTGAGGCTGTATGCTTACTTGGACGATGCTCTCATTGCTTCACATAGCTTTGGACACTGTTATTTAGGTTGTACGCGTTTGTTTTGTAAACCCTCAAAGCTGGCAAAGTTTTATTTCTGAGAGCGCATTTGGTTTTGGCATAAGCCAGAAGTCATTTGGAGTCAAGCCTTGAGAATAAGATGGCTAACTGAGAAATAATATTATTTCTGTATTTGCATATTTAATTCTGTTTCTTAAGAACTTTGATCCATTGCTTTGTAGTTACATACTCTGTATCTATAATAAAGGAAAGGCAGGTGTGATCTTGAAAATAGAAGGGAATAAAATTTTGTGCTGTGACACACACACACACACACACACACACACACACACACACACACACAGGAGCTCGAGGGCCCTAGAGGCTCCCTTGCTGGGCAAGAGTCATTTTTTCAGTTGATGAATCCTGGTGGGAGGGGGCACTCCAGGCAGACGCTAGTTAGCAGCAGAAGTCGTTCAATATTTTTACAACAAACATGCTGTTTCGGGGCACATGGGCCAAATGCCAGCCCTGGTCAAAGGTAAAGGCCCTGAGTCCTGTGAAAGGCTGTTGGCAGCAAAGGGAAATATTCAAAGGGAGGCTTCGGCTTCGTTTCCAGACAGAGTTCCCTGGTGGAAAAATGTGCCCATGAGAATTTCGGGCTAGACAAGATGGGGAGTCCTGCCTCCAGCCATTGAATGAGCTTTCTTTATGTAGTAGAGCACTTTGTGATCACAAAGTCCCTTATAAAAAAGCATTTTCTCCTCCATCAGCCCAGAGAAGCTAAGAACTGTATTGTCAATCAGTGATTGAAATGGCACTGAAACCCACATCTCTCGAGTCTGAAGGGAGGGCTGTTCCTCTTCCACCTAAATACCCTGGGAAGGTGCAGAGATGCCAAGCCTTCAGATGTTGGGGCACCTCAGCATGAGCTGGCAATACACCTGCTCGCTCTACTTGTGTTGATCTGCTCTGTGATAATTAAGCAAATGACCCCAAACCTACAAGTGAGAGGGGTGGGAGGAGGGGTCCTCTGGATCATATGGGAGAAAACCTAGAACAAAAACTTAACCCTGAAAAGAGACTGGGTGACCTGGAAATAGAAGATAACAGCAGCTTTCCACTTCTGCAGACACAAACTCTCGTAGGGGAGCAGGCCCTTGATCTCTGGAGCCCCTCAGGAGCTTCCTGTGCTGTGCATGTAGCTCCACGCTCCTGGCAGAGGAGGCGGG